CAACGTGTTCACACATCAGTTATCAACCACTGCCAGACGGTGATACAGATCCTAATATTACAGAGTTATCAACCAGTGACAGAGACGTGTCATCATATGACACGGGAACAGAAACGTAAACCAAACTTGAAATAAACCTGTTGTTTAGCTCAGTTGTTACAATCAGTGAATGCCAAAGCATTTATGGCAGGTTTGCAGAATTGCAGCCAGTCCATGTGTACAAGGTCTAAATGAGTTTGTTATTGGCAACAATTCAGCTCCAAGAACTATCAAAGTGAATGACAATAATAATGTATTTAACTCATAATAATATTAATTCAAAGAATTTTAATGACATATTCTTAACTTCAATGCTGAACACTTCTATCATCTACACTGCCGGGAGTGTTGCGTTAGAAATAAATTGACTTGTTTTCTACAGAGCAATAACAGCATTTTGCAAGGTCTACAGGTTTTCTTACAGTTCCCTCTTGTGGAAAACCTTGCACTTCACACAGGGCAGAATCCCTAGCAGTCTGTTTTCCAGATTGGGATTACTGAAAATCAGAACAAGGGAATGAAGACCTGAAAAAGTGTACTGAATTAAGTAAATTAAAAATATCACATCACTTTCATTCCTCATTGAATAAATTAAAGTAAGGATCAAAGATATAAAGTTGATGCTGTACATTATGAAGAAGGAGAGAATGGATTTCATGGCTTTGATGTGGGCATCCGTGCTGAGGTCCTTCATGGAGTTTGTCTGCATGTTGCGTTTGTGTCTCCAGAGGGAAAAGAGAAGGAGAAGGGCAGAAAAGATGACTGCTGTGAATGAAGTGGCATATCCAAAACCAATGATAAAATAATGAGGCAAAAACTTTTGATCTATTCTGATCCTTGCTTTCCGAATCCTTCCTTGGCAGGTGAAATTGAGATTGTTACTGAGCGCTTTATCCATGATTTTATAGACAGTGGTTGCAAATATCAGGGAGAAAAGCATTGACCCCAACAAGAGCCAGGG